GAGGTCTGGCTCTGCCTACCAGGGTCACCTCACGTTACTGCATCTCGTCCTTGCCCTCTAAACACCACCCAGACTAGACTTCTTGCAGGTCCTTCTACCTCTCTGGGCCTGCTGTCTTTTGCTTTTCTCCAGGACTTTGCCCATGCCACCCCCTGCCTGGACCACTCTCCCTTCCCACCGCCTCAGGTCTCGTCCTAAAGTCCCCTCTTCCCAGAGGCCTTCCTCACCCACACCAACGTCGAGTTAGGCCTCCCTCCATTCCACTCTTTGTGTCGGCACTCAGCCCATCTTAACACTTGTCACACTTTATTATGGTCACTGCTTTAGTATCTGACTTCCCTCCTAGCTACTAAAAGTCCAGGAAGTCAGAAGCCACTCTGTTCTGTTGAACCTCGTATCTTCACTGCCCAGATTGCCTGATATCTAACAGATACTCAACAGATTATTGAATGAAAAAATGAAGTAATGGTATCATACCTAGCAATGCTTAGGAGTCAGAGAAGAGGAATGGTCCTAGAAAGCCTTTCTTATAGAACTTAATAATATCAAATAGATACTCAAAACATTTACAAAATTAGTAGATACAGATTTTCCATCACCCATGTGAATGATTAAACCTAGTCTCCCCAGGCACGGGGATAGTCTCCCAGTTAAGGATCACTTAACTGAGACCTGAACAGGGCTGGCCCTCAGGCTTACTCTCTGTGCCAGAATTTCTGATTAGCCATATTGTGAGCTATGTTAGCAGGGCTCCCCCAGACCATACTGCGAAGCCAAATATGGTATAAAAATTACTGATTAAGTTTTACATTTTTTGTATTATTTCTTTTTTTTCTTTTGAAGGCCAAACTGAGGCAGTGAGACAGGCCACTGGAGGTTTATAAGCAGGTGGGTGATGAGGTCAGATCTGTGCTTGGAAGGTTACTCTAGCAGCAGAACATGGAAGGGATTCGAGACGTGTAAGCCTAGGAGAGGGGAGGTGTAACCCTAACACTTTCTCCCACTTGAATAGAATAGGTATCTCTGTATAGGTCTCATGCCCCATCTGAGTTCCTTCCCAACTGAGGGCAAAAAGTTTATCATGTTCATCTGTGGAACTATCACAACACAAAATTGGAGTGCATTAAAAAGTGGAAGGACTGGAAACAACTATCCATCAACAAGTGAATGGGGTGCCGGGGTGGCTCAGTCAGTTAAGCGTCTGCCTTCAGCTCAGGTCATGATCCCAGGGTCCTGGGATCAAGTCCTGCATCCGGGCTCCCCACTTAGTGGGGAGTCTGCCTCTCCCTCTGCCCCTTTCCCTGCTCATGCTCTCCCTCTGTATCTCTGAAATAAACAAATACTCTTTTTTAAAAAAAAAAAGGGATTTGAGTGAAAGAAGCCAGACACAAACAATACACTGTACGACTCCATTTACATAAAACTTTAGAAAATGCAAACTATCTCCAATGTCATAAAGCAAACCAGCGGTTGCCTGAGGGCAGGGAAGGGGGCAAAGGAGGACATTGGCGAAGGGGGCAGAGAGAAGAATTATGAAGTGGTACTAGGAAACTCTGAGGTAGGGTGATGGATATGTTCATTATTTTGAGTATAGTGATGTTTTCATTGGTATGTATGTATGTCAAAACTTAGCAAATTATACTTTAAACATGTGCAATTTATTGTTTATTGTATGCCAGTTATAACACAATAAAGCTGTTTTTAAAAAAAAGTACGGGTGGGTATGGTAGAGAAATGCAGGAAGAGGTGTCATTTGAGCTATAAGATATGGCTTTGGCTTGAAAGAAAGCTCTGGGGCGCCTGGGTGGCTCAGTTGGTTAAGCGACTGCCTTCAGCTCAGATCATGATCCTGGAGTCCCAGGATCGAGCCCTGCATGGAGCCCCACATCGGGCTCCCTGCTCGGCAGGGAGTCTGCTTCTCCCTCTGACCCTCCCCCTTCTCATGCTCTCTCTCTCAAATAAATAAATAATCCTAAAAAAAAAAAAGGAAAGAAAGAAAGCAAGCAAGCAATCAAGCTCTGGCCAAGCCAGAAGGAAGTGGCAGTCCCAGTCCAGACCCGAGCAGATGGGCTTAGTGGGAGGTGAGCAGACCCTTTTGCATAGAGCAGAAAACCCACATAACCCTATACTAACCCTATAGGGAGGCAGTAGGATATAGACCTATAGAAGGAGGGAGAGGCAGATGTCGGAGAGCTTTGAATATCAAACTTGGTTTTTTGTTTTGTTTTGTTTTGTTTTTTAGGGGCCGGTGGAGAGGGGCAGAGGGAAAGGGAGACAGAGAGAGAATCTTAAGCAGGCTCTGCGCTGGGCGTCCTGGACTCGATCTCACAAACCCTGACATCATGACCTGAGCAGAAATCAAGAGTCAGACGCTTAATCGATGGAGGCACCCAGGTGCCCCTGTATATCAAGCGTTTTAAAAGTGTACATTGGATTGCACTGACTTCCTCAATTATCCTGGACAAGTTAACTTCTCTAAGACTCTGTTTCCTCCATCTATAGAATAAGGATCATAATATTGGAACCTACTTCCACGGTGGCTGTGAAGAAGAGATGAGGCGATGCAGGTAAAACACTCAGCAGAGGGCCCTGTAAACAGTTAAGTGCTCAATAAGTAGAAGCAATTATTATTATAACAATTACTGTTATTAACCCCAACATAAGCAAATGTATACAGATGTTTGAGCAGGAGGAGGAAGTGATCAAATAAGTTCTTTAGGAGGATTAAATTCACCATCTCTAAATAGCTCCCCTCCAGAGTTAAAATTCCAAATTCATCTCTTCCCCCTTCCCCACTCTATAACTTCCTTCCTAGTAAACACCATGCCCAGACAGAGCCCGAAACCAGTAACCAAGACTCTCTCATATTAGTGAAGGGATTCCAACTGGTAAGCAAGTTGAAATATGGCCTCTGGGTTGGAGAACCAGAACCCCCCAATCCCATCCCCAAGGATTTCAGCCACCACCACTGTCACCACCATAGATTTATATACAGGGTTCATCCTAAAGAGAATAAAGCAGGTGATATTCCTTTTAATTTTAATTTTAAAGCCTAGACAATTTCCCCCCAACTCCAAGGAGGGGTCCAGGTTTTCAGAGATTGACCCTGATCTAAGTTTATTCTCTGGAGTCTCTGAAAAGAAGCCTCTCTGTCCCTCAGTTTCCTCATCTATAAAATGGGAGATAATAATGGTGACTATTTCATGAGGTTCTTGTGAGGATTAAATGAGTCAATATGTGTAAAGAGCCTAGACCATTGTCTGGTCCATAGTAAGTCTATATAATTTTTTAAGGACTTCATTTCTTCTATCTTGTTGATAATGCTTCTTATTTGTGGTCTTTTTAAGTGACTAGGCATTAACAGTGTCCCCATAACAAGCTACTTCAGCCCCAGTGCACCTCTTGGGTAGAAGTAAGTTTGGCCAATGGCTTATAAATATTCATCCTCCAAATCAGAGGCAACCAGCTTTTCCACAGACCCAGCAGTGGTTTTATCTAACTTCATTTAATGAGAAAATACATGGCAGATAAAAAGAATCCAGCCAAGCTTTTAAATTAACGGGTAACTTTATTAATAACAATAGCATCTACACACATTTGAAAACACACATGTAGGAAACATAAGATTAATTCAGTTTATAACAATGTCTGGAGTCCATTCGGATTCATGAAACCCTTAGGATCAACTCCAGGACCCCTTAGCCAAAAGCAGAGTTGAATAACTCTGATCAGACCCATCAGTGTCTTCATCAGCAAAATCAAGGCTTAGACAGAAAGAGTGAACATTTTGTAATTACTTAAAATAAAACTAAAATGCAATTGTCTGCGCATTTGAGGATACTAAGGTGGACAATGTTAGCTACATGACCAGTGAACCAATCCCTTTGCTTTTCTCAACCTCTGGGTTGTAAAGGGGGTTATTTAACCTTGCCTGTCTCACAGGGTCTATCTTTTCAAGGCCTCCCGATAATCAGTGAGAAGGTGAGTGTAAATTAAAAGCTCATCTCCATGGGGAACAGAGGATCAGGATGGAGATGGTGGGTGTCAGAAAAGGAGATGAGAAAAGGATCTTTCCAGTAACAAATGCTCTGAATTTAAAGAAAATCCAAAAGAGGTTACGCTACAAGAAGCATAAAGGGAAAACCAACCACCACCACCTCCTTTTTGGTGCACAAAAGGAATCTTAACCCGGGCCTCCTCAGAGCTATTGCCCTGAAGTGACCCCAGACCTACTTGGCCAAAGAGCTCCAAAAACATTTCCGTTTTCATGTCTTCACGTGTACCTAATGGAAATGAACGGCACGCATCCATCCAGGAAGCGATTAAGAAAGGGATAGCGTGGGAAAATTAATTCGACAAATTTTAATTCAGTAAGTATTTAAGTGTCCACTCTGTGCCAGGCAGCCTGGCGCTTACTATATTTAGCAGAAAACCAGACCAGCAAAGTCTGTTAAGGGCTTGAGGAGAAAGACCATAAATAAGAAAATAAACGAACCAACTTCTGACAGCTGCTAGGAGGAAGAGAAAATGAGACCAGGTGATAGGAACGAGACGCAAATTCCTGAGTGGGACTTGGGAAGGTCTCTGAGAGGTGAATTTTGAGCTCAGCCCTAAAAGACCAGCGCCTTCCAGTGACCCAAGGCCGGGGCGTTCCGAGAGAATTAAGTGCAAAACCGATCCACAAACCGAGAAATAATAGGGATTTCAAAGCCCCAAAGGGAGCGGCGGAAACCAGAACCTACGAATTCCGGAGCGGGCGCGTGATTTTGAATATTCATGTCGTCCAATCAGGGAAAAGCTAGGACCCGGCAGCGCAGGCCCCGCCCTCAGTGCCCAGACCGCTGGTATCCACAGGAGGCCACACCGCAGGGCAGAAGTGGTGACTGGGCACCCCGGCAGCTGCCAAACGCTCGCCAAACGCTCGGGAGAATTCTTCAGGGCTCTGACGCAATGTTCCCGGCACCCGGGTTTCGTTGTCCTGGGGTCCTTTCTTAAGTGAGGATGACCGAAATTATTACTCATTTCGTTTTAGAACACCGATGAAACATACACCCAACAAAGTCACCAGGACACAATAGTCTGGGAAGGGAAGGGGAAAAGCGGATTTTCAATATCCTAATTCGGAAAGACTTGTAGGAAAACTAAGCAGCACAGTTGAGTTAAGACGCGCCCTAGATTAAAAAGCAAAGCCAGTCACGCGCCAGGAATCTCACGTAGGAAAGGCTGGAAAAGCTACGTGTGCCATCTTCCATGATCTTTCACGAGTAGAGTAACTTACTTTGTGAGAGCAAGTGAGGGGAAAACAAGTGAACAAAGCTCTTTTCTGGTGATTAGGTGGGTGGCTCTGAAAAGAGCCTTTGGAGTCAAGCGGCCGGCGACTCATGCGAGCGCCGTGTCCCGGCAGGGACTCACTTGGAGCTGGTGTACTTGGTGACCGCCTTGGTGCCCTCGGACACGGCATGCTTGGCCAACTCGCCGGGCAGCAGCAGGCGCACGGCCGTCTGGATCTCCCGGGACGTGATGGTCGAGCGCTTGTTGTAATGCGCCAGGCGGGAGGCCTCGCCGGCGATGCGCTCGAAGATGTCGTTGACGAAGGAGTTCATGATGCCCATGGCCTTGGACGAAATGCCGGTGTCGGGGTGTACCTGCTTGAGCACCTTGTACACGTAGATGGAGTAACTCTCCTTGCGGCTGCGCTTGCGTTTCTTGCCATCCTTCTTCTGGGCTTTGGTGACAGCCTTTTTCGAGCCCTTCTTGGGCGCGGGAGCGGACTTTGCCGGTTCAGGCATTGTAGAACACCCCACTCGTTAGCAAAGAAAAGAAGTGCGAGAATGGGCGGGCCTGATCCTTTTATAACCACCGTATGCAAATTAGGGCTCCAAAAGCCCTTCGTTCCCATTGGGCCTTGTAGGGACCTTGCGTTATCAGTAATAACTACGTAACAACACCTACTCTTGGCCTCATTGGCCAGTTCTGGAGCCAATTTAGGACCAATGAAAAACTCGTTCCTGACCCCACCCCTAGCAAAGCTTATAAAAGCTTTTCAATCGCTGATCTTGAATCCTGTTTTGTTGTGAGGTTCTGAGCTTTAGGTGTTTTAGTCTTACCTTCAACCATGTCTGGTCGCGGAAAGCAAGGAGGCAAGGCTCGCGCCAAAGCCAAGTCGCGCTCGTCCCGCGCTGGCCTGCAGTTCCCGGTGGGCCGGGTGCACCGCCTGCTGCGCAAGGGCAACTACGCCGAGCGGGTCGGGGCCGGCGCGCCGGTGTACATGGCGGCGGTGCTGGAGTACCTGACGGCGGAAATCCTGGAGCTGGCTGGGAACGCGGCCCGAGACAACAAGAAGACGCGCATCATCCCCCGCCATCTCCAGCTGGCCATCCGCAACGACGAGGAGCTGAACAAGCTGTTGGGCAAAGTCACCATCGCTCAGGGCGGCGTTCTGCCCAACATCCAGGCCGTTCTCTTACCAAAGAAAACTGAAAGCCACAAAGCCAAAAGTAAATAAAACCCTGATAAGCCAAAGACCAAAGGCTCTTTTTAGAGCCACCCAAGTTTTCAAAAAAAGAGCTAATGCGCTATTTCGTTATCAGCCCCTCAATTGACATTTTGGTGGCTCTTAAAAGAGCCTTTGGGGTTAGTGGGGATGGTCTCGACCTTCCTAATTACTTGTTCTTGCCAGGCTTGTGACTCTCCGTTTTCTTGGGCAACAAGACCGCCTGAATATTGGGCAAGACGCCGCCCTGGGCAATGGTGACACCCCCAAGTAACTTATTGAGCTCTTCGTCATTTCTCACGGCTAGCTGCAAATGGCGGGGGATGATGCGCGTCTTCTTGTTGTCTCGGGCCGCGTTCCCCGCCAGCTCCAGGATTTCCGCCGTCAGGTACTCCAGCACCGCCGCCAGGTACACCGGCGCGCCGGCCCCGACCCGCTCGGCGTAGTTGCCCTTGCGCAGCAGGCGGTGCACCCGGCCCACCGGGAACTGCAGGCCAGCGCGGGACGAGCGCGACTTGGCCTTGGCGCGAGCTTTGCCTCCCTGCTTTCCGCGTCCTGACATTACGGCCAAATATGCAGTTACAGCTTCTTATTCAAGGAGAAGGAAGTGAAAAGGATAACCAATTTGGTGTAATTTATAAGAGCTACCGGGAGGGGTGAAGGGAAGTAGCCCAATCAAACAGCCAATAGGAAAGCAGAAAGCAGCTTCTTCGTTTGCAGCCTGCGCTACGAGGAAATGACGGATTTCGTAAGTACCTAACCAATCGCTGGGAGCCACATTAAAGCCCCTTATTTGCATGCCAGGATTTTTTAAAGAAAGAAGGCCTTCGGACCAAACGCTGTTTTGTTTCGCCTTTTACCGAATGGCATATTTTGTTTCCAACTGAAGAGAAGGGCGGAGGGGGGGATCTTTTTTTCCAGTTCAGAGCTAGAAGGGAAATCCTAAGAAGGACCCAAAAGGCCTGCTGAGGGCCTCCGGCAGAAGCAGAGTTGCTCCCATTCAAGGGTAGGGATTCTGAAGCCCATTATTCCCTTGAGCCTTAAGTTACCCTCCAAGTCCCGCCTTCTCTGTCTCTTCACAGCCAGACTTCCAAAAGAATATGTTACTAAGGCCGCCCGCTTTCTCTGCAATTTAGTCATGGCCTTCGGTGAGGCTTCGCCCCACCCCCAGCCGCCTACGCTCTTCGGAATCCACTGTAACCAAGGACCGGTTTTAGATTTGTCTTCCTTCTCTCGACCTCCAGGAGGCATCCGATACCGCCTTGCTCCCTTGGCTTTCAAAATGTCCTCCGACTTTCCTCGTCCCGCTCCTTTTTTCCTCTACACGTCCCTGGATTCCCGTGTCTGTCTGGGTTCTGCCTCCTACCCAACACCCCCCTCCATCCTTCACTCTTCCCGAGGAGTCTTCCCACTTCCATGCTTTCAATTATAGACTTCCAGATCTGCTCCGGAAGCTGAGACCCTGACACCAAACTGCTTGCTGGGTACTTCAACCCATTTGTCCCAACAAAATTCTACTTATCCAAACGCGAACTTATCTAAACGACCCCCAGTCGCCTCTGTTTGCTCTCTTTCCCTCAATTACAACCTAAGCCAGAATCTACACTTACCTGCATCTCAACAGCATATCCGGTCACTTCCCTAACGTCTGTTCAGCCTTTTCTCCGTGCTCCTGTCTGCCTCCTCATGGCTCTCTTAGACTTCAGCAACAGCCCTGCAGACTTGTTTTCCTTCATCCTCCAATTGCCTTCTGGAGAAATCTTTCCGGAGAATTTTGTTCCTTTCTCCTCAGCATCCCCCCCCCCCGGAGTGTTCTACACCCCTCACACCATTTGCACCCTCTCCTGAGTATCCCATAAGGACAGGAAGTAGAATACTATAGAGAAGAGTAGACTTAAATCCTATTCCTTGAGCCCATTTCTGATGTTCTCTCTTTCATCCTCACCTTTATTGAACTGACCTTTATCAGGTATTGGCTACCTACCAGGCAATGGGGATATAGATAGCTGAAACTAGAAAATAGAGGAAATCTAAACTCTGGAAGTTAAAATCAGCTATCTGTAGACATTATCCCTGGTAAGAATGCTGGTACAGATTTGTGAAACACCCAAGTTCAATCAAAGGCTACGGGAGTGTTTTTTCAATAGCAGAACTCTATCAGCTATATCACTGCAGAAGATGCCTGTGGTAATAGAAAGATGTGGTCCACATAGAGCCTAAACAGGGCAATTACAGTAGGAATGTGTTGTTTCTCCAGCACTAAGAATGTATATTTATTATATGTCTGCTAGACACAAAGGTTTGGGCTATTATAGAAGGGTCCTTGGTGTGAAAACATCATCCTTTTCTCACAACCTGGGTGAAGTAGTTCTGAAGACTGTTTAACTCTCTTAGCTCAGATTCTGGGCTCAATTAACCACTTTCCAATTATTCTACTTCAAGCTAAAAATATGAGACTGAGAAGGGATGAGCCAGTTATGAGAAGATATATCACTAGAGGGTAATGAACTTGCATTCTAGACTATTCATAAATTTCTTGTGTGTTTTGTTAGTGTGAGTCTCTCCCCAGTAAGCCAGTACACTCTGGAAGTTCTGATAGTGTCAACTTTTCAGACCTACAGGGTCTGAACCCAGACAATGGGGACCCCACCACAACTCTGGCACCTTGAGAGTTCCTGCTTGAGGGGGCAGCTGATCTCCCCCTGTCTTTGACCTCTGATCTCTTTCTTACTTCTATCACAGTGACCCTGTGCTATTAGGAAAGGTGAAGGGCAAAGAGATTATATGATGTAGATGTGATTGTTCGTATCACAGATAAGGAAAGTGAGGCTCAGAGAACTTAAAGCACTTGCTGAAGGTGACACAGCTATTTACTAAGACATGATTAGAACTCAGGTCTGCCTGACTCAAAAATTGTGCTCTTCATCACTGCATTCACCCTGCTTCACTCACTAGATGTTGGGCTTCATGAAGCCACTTAACTTACAGAGCCTCCCTTTCTTCGTCTATTAAAGAGAGGAAGAGAATGAGAGAAAATTAGATTTAGTATTTTAGTTTCCATCCAGCTGTAAAACCTTATTAGATAAGTCTAGATAGGCCAATATCCTCCAAATTATACCAGGCTCAATTATTATCTATTGCTCCCCGGAGCTCTTTTCCCAGTGTTCTTACCAGAGCTATTAAAACATGAAATAGAGCAGGCCATCCATAAAAGTAGTACCCCATCACAAACAGGCTGGGTCTTACTTCCTTTAACAAAAAGGCAACTGGAATTTTTAATTTTTTTTAACATGTTCCTTTTTTTTAAAGATTTTATGTATTTATTCGAGAGAGAGATAGAGCACAAGCAGGAGAGGGAGAAGCAGGTTCCCTGCGAGCTGGGAGCCCAACGTGGGGCTCGATCCCAGGACCCTGAGATCGTGACCCGAACTGAAGGCACCCAGGCACCCCGCAACTGGGATTTTTAAACTGAGTCCCTTCGCAGGCAATCTAGTTAACCAAACATTTATTTTGCTTTCTCGCGCCATTCCACCGTTCTAACCATAGTCCTCTCTCTTACCCCCTCCCCCTCCTTCATCCCTTGCTGCATACCATTCAAGCAAGGCCTTTTCACAGTTACCTGCCATTGCACATACAGTGGCCTTTGGCTAGAATGCTTCGTCCTCCTCTTGACCTGGCAGAATCCTCCGCATCCTTCCAGTTTCAGCCCAGATATCACCAGCTCCTTCATGAGGTCTTCCCTTCCGCCCCCCACACACAGCCTCAGTGTACCCACTTCTCTGTTCAGATCCTGGTGGTAGCACTTCCCACTCTGTACTGCGCTTTCACTTTGCTCTCACTTCCTTGCTGTGACCGCCTCAAGGGAGAGACTGTGTCTTTTTGAATCTGAGTCCTTAATTCCTTCTACCTGGCTCTTAATAGGGTAATTAAATGTTTTCGACTTGAATAAATGGCACTAACACTCTTAGGGAATTAGTGTCTTCTTTTCAAAAATCTTTCTCTTTACTCAACAACCACTCTCCAAATGCCGGCTACAAACAGTAGACGGCAACAGCCAGAGTGATGGAAGATATGCTAAAAGCTCGTCAATTAAACAAAAATAATATAGCCAACCATAATAGAGTTGTCAGAATAAATGAGAATAAACGTAAAGAACCTAGCATGGAGCCTGGAACCTGAGAGGGCCCAAAGCTGTATTAGGAGGCTGAAAAGCTTAATGGTTAAGAGCCCAAATTCTACAGCCTGACTCTGCATTGTTTACCAGATCTGTGACCATGGGCAAATTACCTAACGTCTAAGGGTCTCTGCTTCCTCACTGGTAAAGCAAAAGTAATAACAGTAGCTACTTCATGGGGTTGTTGTAAAAATTAAAAGTTCATAAATGTAAAATATTTAGAACAGTACCTAGCACCAACATAACAGGGGCATCCCAAAAACTCTTTGAACCAATTTGTCATTTCAAAAATAAACATTAGGTTGGGGCGCCTGGGTGGCTCAGTTGGTTAAGCGACTGCCTTCGGCTCAGGTCATGATCCTGGAGTCCCGGGATCGAGTCCCGCATCAGGCTCCCTGCTCGGCGGGGAGTCTGCTTCTCCCTCTGATCCTCCCCCCTCTCATGCTCTCTCTCTCTCTCATTCTCTCTCTCAAATAAATAAATAAAATCTTAAAAAAAGAAAAATAAACATTAGGTTTATCAGATGACCTAGCAATTCCACTCCTGGATATACAGCAAACAGAAGTGAAGGTTTGCATGCAATAAAAAGCATGTACCAGAATGTGGTATATTCATATCCTGCCATACCACACAATGAAATGAGCAAATTGCTGCCACGCACATGGATGAATCTCACAGACAATGTTGAGTGAAAAAATGCAAACAAATGAATTCATGCTACGTGATTCTTTTTATATGAAGTTTAAAAATGGGCAAAACTAATCTATGGTGATAGAAGTTAGAATAATGGTTACCTGTGGCAGGGTGGTGTTGACTTCCCTGGAGCCTTCAAGGTGCTGGAAATTTTCTGTATCTTGATGTGCATGTACTCATATGTAGAATTAAACTGCACACTTAAGATTTATAAATTCCTTATGTGTAAATTATACATCAATAAGCACAAATTAAGTTTTCCAAGAACAAATCCTGAAGTAATCATCATGTAGGGAAAATGAGTATTTTGTTGGGCATCCCAATCCTCATGTCACAGATTAGTGTTTGTTTTTTGTTTTATTTTAATTACACATGAGGTGGCCACCATAATCTCTTGGTATTTAAAGCCTCTAAAAGCCTCAATTTGGCCATGACAAACCTTCACTACATAG